TTCGTAAATAACTAAATTTGCTTTTTATTGTGAGGAAACCGACTTTCTCCAAAAGTCTAATACGGCCTTTTTGAAAGCAGCTGAATTTGAACAGAAAATGTCCACATCCGAAAAGCCAGTCAGCCGATTAAAAGCTTTTGCCGACCTTATAAAATATAAGTTTTGTCTATGATTTGTACCACTGCGTGAAATGGTAAATGTTGATTGAAATCTTATTGACCTTTTGGGGACTCGTAATTGAAGTTTAGAAAGAAGGTACGGGGAATCTAATTTTGACTGGGCGATTTTGGCCAAGAGAACTATGTCTGAAGTTGTCCTTCTTGTTTGTAACGGCAATATATGGCGTCTTATACATCTTTTCTCATAGATGACGTCAAACACTTTGCATTTGCACTGTAGAAATTTCATGAATTTGCGCTGTACGGCCTCAAGTGAATATCGTAATGCGGATTCCAAATCTGGCAACCATACTCCAGTATACTGCAGACATATGAACAGTTTGTATGCCCTTTTGGCTATATGATCTATATGAGCAGCATAACAGAGCTTACTATCATGTATTACCCCCAGATCCCTGACTTCATGTACTCTTTTAAGTTTACCTTGTTTCAATAAATAATCGTAATCAATAAATTTGTGTTTACGAGTTAATGTTATGAAACGACATTTACCTATATTAAGTTCTAATTTATTAGAACTGCAGTATTTTTCAAACCTAGCAAGGTCCTATTGTTACATAAAACTATCATGAACCGTGTTTATCTGCTTCAATATTTTTAAATTATCTGCATCTAGTAAGAAATTAGAGTGTAGGAAACAAATCCTTATATCATTTATTATATATTAAATTAAAGAATATTAAATATTAAAGGCCCAATGCCATGCAGAAACAAAACCGTTAATTGCCACAGCCTGAGAACGGGTATATAAGATGATAAGACGGAAACTGCAGCAAGAAGCTAGAGATAAAAATTGGAGAGATGCGATCAGGTCCTGGTCCTTTAGTTTGATCTATTACCTCCATTAATTTATACAAAGTCTTCTGGTCAGTTTTGACGTCATTTATACTATTTTTACACCCGTGTGAGTTGACATGATCGTTGGATGCAAGATCATCATAACTTTGAGGAAGAAATTTCGATTGAAAATATGTGGCAAAGAGATTGCAAATCTCTTCACCAACGTCAGCTATGTTAATGTTGAGGGCAGCGAATGATTATTATTTTTGTTATATTTGACATAGCTCCTAAAAAGTTTGAGGTTATTGGTTATTGAATTTTCACATTTATCTAGATAATCAAGGTAACACTCCTTTTCAATAATTTTCGCTCTCTTACGGGGTTGAGAAACAGTTTGGTAATCATCACTGTTGCCATATATGCGATGTTTAAGTAAATATCGCATATCTATCAAGGACGCATATTTAAGTTGATATTTGCTTTTTTCTTTCAAGATTTTCTTTAGAGACGAGTTGTACCAGGGCGGGTAATTAGATCGCTGAGTATTTTTGTGTGGTATATGTTTATCTACTAATTCATATAATGAATTGTAAAAAAGATCAACTGAATCTTCTAATGAATTATCTTTTAAACAATCCTCCCAATCCATCCTATTCAATAAGTCATTAATTTTTTAATAATCTCCACTTTAATGTTCACTTTAAGGGGTTCAGTAAATAGATAATTCATATTCACGACGAGCTACTTATGATGCGTATCCTCATGCACCAAAGGATCTGGACACGATGAAACAGATAATTCCCCACTACTAAGAACTAGATCTAAAATTCTATTATTTACATTTTTACATGGGTTCAATTGAGCTAAATCACATTCAGAAAGCGTATCTATAAAATGAACTTTCGATGCCCCGGAAACGCCTGATGGTAACAAAGGATAATCATTCGTCCAGTCGATATTGCTCATATTAAAATCACCCATTATTATAAATGTGTTATTTAGACATAACTGAAGAATTCGTGACATGTTATCTGTGAAGTTAGCGAGTTGCAGATTATATGAATTAACATGCTTTTCATTGTATAGGTATAGTGTACATATATGTATTTTTTGGTACCAATTTTATTTTTGTATGTAATTGTAACCCAGATATCTTCGATCGAAGAAATCCAATCGGGCCTAGGCGATGCTAAGAATTCACGTTTTATAGCTTTATTCCTTTCAGGTCTGATTCATTTATTTGCGAAATCGAGTTTTTCAACTATAGACAATTTTTAGTTACTATATAAGGTAATCAAAAAAAATATTTTCTAAAATGCCCCCCCCTTCCTCTTAGCGGGGGTGGAACCTGCACGATCGTGATGTTAAGGCTCAAATAACTCAAGTGCACGATTGTGATGGTGTCAGACTTTCAATGAAAAGTATTGAAATAAATAAAGAAAAATCATAGAAACATATTTTTATTTATTATTTAGAATGATAGGAACTTATAAATAATCAATCTTAATCAAATTGCAACTCACTTTAGACTTGATAAAATTATAACAAAAAATATTTAGTGACTAGTTTTCTCAGTCTGAAACTTATTACTTTGTATGATACGCTAAAAAACAGTTTTGTTTTCTAGATAAACAAAGATAAACCTCACATTTGGTACATAGTATCTTGGACCTACTTCTACATCCTTCCATCCTGCATGCTCTTGGTTATCCATCATACCTTTTGGCCATAGAAGGTGGATTCAGTCGACGAAATTTAGATGTATTCGGGTGCAGGTTCTCATTAATTTCATCTGTATCAGATGTTCTTTTACGATCTGGTGCGTTGATTAGGCCATCTGCCACCTACATTCGAAACTCCAGCAAGTCTATAACTTTATTTTTGGGTACTCCAGTAGCAATCGAATCTAATACGTACGATCGCCATGCATTCGAAATCGAAAGGTCAAAAAAATGGAGGATGACTTTTAGAGTCTATTTCTTCGTTTTTATGAAAGTTCGATAATATTCAACGGATTGATCAAGAATATCCACACCTCCCATATTCTTGTTGTAATTTGCTATTACTTTTGGACATCTTACGTCAGTAAATGCTGAAAGATTTTTATCCCATCGCTTGATAAGACACGAATCATCTCCAGATGTACAATTGGATGCGACCAGTACAGATTTGTTATCCATCCATTTTACAACAACAATATCATTGCTAACGAATTGCTGACAATCGCCACGTTTCATGTTACGATCTTGCTTGAAGTCCATGTTTTTTCTCTCAGGAATTCGGTTTATCATAATTGTGCCGGTTCCATGGAGTCCCAATACATTTAATCTCTCGAGTAAAGGTATCGAAGAAAAAGATCTGTCGAAATATACACAACTACCGCGTGGAATAGATTTAGAGAGATGAAGAATTACCGAAGCTCCAACGCCTAGAGATCTGTCGCCAAAATTTGTTTTAGCACCCTGGTAAACTTCGAAGTCAATCATCAAACCATCGTGAGTAGTAGCGACGAAAGCTTTTAGCCCTTGTGGACGTGGTTTTGTTTTAATAACTTGTCGCAAACCACGTGGACATATCCCGCTGAATGGAATCATCTGTTCATCTATTGAATAAAATCCTTGTTGGCTTTCTAATTTGTCGCAAGCATTCTTGACTTGAGTAAGTACAGGTTGCACTTTCCAGAGTGAGTTCTGGTTTCCTGGCGAGGCCTCATCACTGTCAACAACGTGAAAAGCCATACGCAGAACTTTAAAGCGGTCTCTAGAAATTTTATCAGCAATTAAAGCTAATCTCATTTCTGTTCGCCAGTACATGTGAATACGTGGGTATGGAATACATCCCATGATAAAATGAACCCCAACAAACTTTTTCAACTCTGTCGCTTTAGTGTTTAGTACTTTACCCGTTTTGCGCATGTAATAATTATTGGTACAAACTGCAGCATGCTCAAAAAACTGACCGTCAAAATAGTCTTCAAAGTAGGCCAAAGGAGACCTTACCACTGTTGATTGTCGCTCTGGATAGCAATGTTCCTTTTGATTGAATGGCATCTGCTTCCAGATCCTTCGGCGAGTGTCTTGACTTTTCGTAGACTTCTTACGAACTTTTGGTGCATTTGTAGATGAAGGACCTGGACTTGGAGGTGATTGAGGCTCATCAGCATGCATCAAAGGTAAAATCGAGTCATCTCGAACACCCTCGTCGTCTTTTACTCCTTCTATTTCGGAATCATTGCCATCACCATTAAGTTCAAGCAACAACTCACTTGATAGTTCTTTTCCTGAGAGCAAAAAAATGTATAACTCTAATTAAAAGCAAAAAGTTAATGATTCGCTGTCGTTCGACATTACACTTTAAAAATGGAATTTGAGTCGGAACGTCATGATCGTGCAATCAAATTTTTGAGAGGTAATATTCTCTAATACAAATTATTAAGCTTAAATATTATTGTTTAGCTGATAACATTATTACCTAAACAAAACATTAAAAGCAAAATTTAACTAAAACAGATGAATAAATAACAAAATAATAAATACTTACGCTGACCACTCCGTTCAAGAAAATAGGCCGACATCTTTCCCGCGTGGTCAATCAACACAGAATGGCGTCACACTCACACTTGCACGCTAAATTCATAAACAAACCTCTGCACCATCGTTCGGTAGCGTCTTGGGCCCGAAAAGTTGATTCGAAAAAGCGCGGGATTTTTTTAAAATAAAGTGTACGATCGTGTTCCGTCGTCTTGAAAGGGTTATAGCACTTCGCCTTCAATTTTTTCATTAATAGTGTGGTAATTTCTATCACGTCGCTAAACTAAGTACCTATCATCAAAGAGCTCACTATAATTAATACCATCAAGAAGCCAAGTCTCTGTTAAAGATACAGCATCGTACGAATTGATAAGAAGGTTTCGCTTAAAAATATGTGTTTTAGTGCGCATATAAAAATTCATAGTTTACATTAAATAAATTCATATTAAATTTGTGCTAATAATTAATAATGTATAGTGATGTTGTTTAAGGTACATTGGAGTGTATTGCAATGGCAGAAATGATGATGGAACGGATATCTTATGAAGTATCTGTGGATCCGGTAGATGTTCGTTTGGCAAATGTGGATATGCTGTTACATGGTGATATAAAAGAAATGGCCGATACTTTAAAAACAAATGCCGACTATATTAAAAGAAAAGCTGCTGTTGAAGATTTTAATAAAACAAACAGATGGAAGAAACGTGGATTGAGAGTTGCGATGATGAGTTATTTTATTCCACCGATTGGTCAGCGTTTTGACGTCAACCTTTCAGTTTATCATACAGATGGGACTGTTGTAATAACTCACTCAGGTATTGAAGTGGGACAAGGAATAAATACTAAAGCAATTCAAATAGCAGCACATTTTTTGAAAATACCAGTGACAAAAATAAAAATAAAAGGCAATAACTCGATAATTGGTCCTAACGCAGAAGCTACTGGAGCAAGTGTCACTAGTCAAAATGTCGGTATTGGTGTTCAACAATGTTGTGAAGAACTTTTGAGAAGACTGGCGCCGATTAAACTCCTAAAACCTCTTGCTACCTGGGAAGAGTTGATAAGAGCGGCATTTGTATTACAAGTAGATTTACAAACTCATGGATTTGTTACTCTTCTAAATGGTCAATTAGTTTTCAATTATGGCGTTTGCTTTGCTGAAGTTGAACTGGATATACTGACTGGCGAATCAGAAATACTACGTGTAGATTTGCTGGGAGATGCTGGACAAAGTATAAATCCAGCCCTCGATATAGGCCAAGTAAGTTTAAAATCATAATTGGACAGAACATGTTGTGGTATCGTCTCCAGTTACTATTTTGAATTGATTTCGTCATTCATTTTATATTAATAAATTGATTCTGGAAATAAGTTCATTTAATATATAAGCTGTGAATACATTTTTGGCGTTGTCATGGTTTATGTAAAATTATTTTCACATTATTAGATAATTTTATGTAAATTCAAAGATATACAGGAAGAATCGAATCATATATTGACTTAATTATACCCGTATTATACTCAAAAAAATTTTTGTTTATATATAAAGGTACCAGTTAAAATAATATTTTTTATTAGTTACACATTTGTATTGATAAAATCAATAGCATGATAATTAACGCTACGTAACTTATATAAGAGACTGTTCATGTTAATATATATTCAAAGCAATTTTCTTCATTTTAGATTGAAGGTGCTTTTATAATGGGCTTGGGATACTGGACAATGGAACAACTTGTGCACAATGTGGAAAATGGAGAGGTGCTTACTGATCGTACCTGGAGCTACCATGTGCCTCAATGTCGGGATATTCCTCAAGATTTCAGAGTATATTTAAGGAAAAATTCTTACTCTAGCATTGTCATTCTCGGTAGCAAAGGTATGTGGAATAATACGATCGGAACTCATTTTGTGCACACTTTTATTTGTGATATAGAAGGTAAGCAAGTATTATAGTTATTAAAAAACATTCTTTTTTTCAACAGCAATTGCTGAACCTCCAATATGTCTATCAATTGTAGTGCCGTTTGCTCTTCGGCAAGCTGTTACATCGGCAAGACTCGATGCCGGCATTCCCACCACGGAGTGGTTTCCAATCGGTACGTTATCTGTTGTATAAAATATAATCTGGTGACCGTTCAGCTCAAACTATTGATCTGCGAATTTGAAAACTGAAAGTGAACGTTAAAAAGGAATTTTAAGAAATTTAATCCGCAAGATGCGTTTAGAAGTGATTGAACTACAAGATCGATTTAAAAATCTTTAATCTACGGGAAAATACATTAGTTGACACGTAGTAGATATTACTTAACGATAGTTGATTATTTGAAAAGAGCAGCTTTCCCGTTTGAGATGTGGTGCGAGCTTTATCGATTTCGTTTCCTTTAAATCATTTTCTTATTAAAACTATACAAACCGGTTCAAATATTATGTGCAAGTTGCAGGAAAATTTTAAAATTTTATTTTTACTTTTCAGATGGACCGTATACTGTTGATAAAATGTGTTTGGCAGCCGCTACTAAAATTGAAGATTTTAAGTTATACTGAAATTGAATTATAATTGTATACTAGTTAGATAGACGTTATCCTGTCTTAATTATGTGTTCACATGTATTTTTATCAATAATTTTAGTTTTTTTATATCCAGTTTTACATTATTCGCAGAACGCATTCTGTCAATTCTAAATCAAATGTCATAAAGTTACATTAAAAAAGTTTATGTTATCGAAAGCACTAAGATTAGATTAGATTATAAATAATTTTATTAGGTGGTTAAACATTCTTAATTTTAAAAATCTTCCACATAATTTTATTATTTTTTTCTTTCGTAAGAGAAAATCCTGACTATAACAAACCCTACAAAAGAGTATTACCGAAAAAGGTCCAGCCGCTCACGTGTGATGGTGTGACCAATGGAAAAAGGGATTCGTTATCATATATAAAGATAATAAAATAAGTAAAAATGTGCAAAGAGAAAGAACGTTATTTTAAAATTTTCTTAGATTATTTAGTAATTTAATATTTTTGTTCTTTAATTTTTTACAGTAATTTACATTAGAATGATAGTTTTCTAAGGCATTTCTACATTGTATCTATTGACTTCCCGATATTTCATAAATGTATACTCAATCAATAAAAGGTAACGATCCTGTAGAAAATTTTCTTTCTTACTTAATATTTTTAACTTGTTTTTAATGAAAGTATTTTGAGTTACATTCAAGATATTGAAAAATATTTTTAAACATTTTATGTTTTATTTTACATAACACAACGGCCAGATAATTAAACTGTATATTGATGATATATACAGCACTCTTATTATAATTTATATTACGTCATTTTATTGTTATTGAATTTTTTGTTGTTCCTTTAATTTATATGTTTAACAAAAGGTATAATAAATTTTGTTATAGCAAGTGTTTTCATACAACCAACACAATTTGTCGATTTTTGTCATATCTGTTATGTATTTGCTAAAGGTATTTACAAGAATATGGAATTCAACTAAAATGATAATTTTGTAAATAAGCTAAGAAATATAACCATTTTGTAATAACTAATGATATTTATGATTGCTACAAAATTACATTGGTGTTGTTTAAGACAATCTTCTTTACGTCTTTTGAATATTACATTCATCAATGTCTTACTAATCTATAATTTTTATAAAATTATAACTATTAATGGACTATTGTAAAAGTATACTTTGTTTATTATTTTCCTAACATTTATTGTCACTAGTAGCTATATAATTTTTACAATGAGTATGGAGTATATGAATCATTATCCAATAATGGTTAAAATTGAATTTAAATTTGCATGTTAACAGCTTTATTAGTGGCATTCAATAAATTTTATATTCATATTGCTATTTATTTTAAAGAAATATACTTAAAGAGCGGAGTCGCCTCTTGGTTATTTTTCTAGAATTTTTATAACAACTCTCCGAACGTCTCCGGACATCTTGGTCTCCGGGCTAATAAGTTTTGGAACGGAATGATATAACTTCCCTTTAATCTCCCTTGCTAGTTGTCTCTATCATCCAGTAGGACCCCCACCTTCTGATTTTACATGGAAACGAGTCCTCGCCCGACTTTAAATGAAGTTTCTTGAACTTGATAACCACTTTTTTGAAGTTAATGCACGAGATATCATTGACGGAAGAAAGAATCTAGTAATACTTCATTGCACCTGTCTTAATGATAGTTTAAATCACCAATCCCCGTGACGATTCCATAATTCCTTTAGCTTGCTACGGAAGCAAAATGAACTATGGAATCGTCACCGAATTTTACGGAATGGATAAGTTATTTGTATTAGAAAGGTAAAAAGGAATATAAATTATGTTTATTACGCCTCCTCAATTTTATGCTTAATATACCTATAAGTAGGTACTTCTTATTTATTAATTCCTTAAAAGAAAAAAATATCACTAAGATTTCTCTATTTCAATTTACCACGCGCCATTATCAGCACGTAGTGTTTATTATGCTAATTTATCTACATACACAAAATACAGTAGTCTGGTCAGCTTAATTGAGATTCTGATACAAATCAGAGATGTAATTTGCCTGCTAATAGGTTAACTAGTCAAACTTACATGTAATATTACATTTCAATAATAGTTACTTACATAAACTGTTTGATAGTGCTATTTAGCTGTTCGAATTTCACTTTTACGAGGTATGTTTTCGTAAATAAAGAAAATATATTTTTCTTTTATTTTTTTAATAAATACCTATATAAATTTTATTTAGATAACATCACATACATTGTTTTAATCAAAAATAAAGTAACAATTGAACTATGGTTTGAAACAACGCAGGTACCACATCACTCGAGACGATATGGACATGGTAATTTTCTACATTGTCCCGACCGAAATTCAAACCCGGAACTTCAGTGAGGGCTCTTCTTCTTGAAGCCTGCCTGCGAGCCCCACTCGGCCGTGGAGGTCGTCAAATTTAATTTTTCAAAATCATCCTTTGTTTTAGTAATAAACGTGTAATCTGTAACTTTTAATGAAAATGTATTTCAATATTAAACCAAAACAGGTGACGTAATGAAAAAATATTTTATTGTAATAAAATTTTACTTTTTTATTTAAATAAATTATATCTGAATTTAGCGATCATTGATTAGTCTCAATTTGATTGTTTGTAAAAAGACGTGAAATAAAAAAACGTTATAACAAAAATACTTTTCATGGATATAAAGTGGATTAACTAGTAATGTAAATTATTATATTTGAACAATTTTGCATTCAGAATTCTATACTGAAAAATATTCTGAATGGAATATGCTTAAAATAATACAATTGAGCCCTGGCACCTCGTGATGGGATTCGAACCCATGACGATCCGCAATCCGGGCGACTGCTCTTACTACTGAGCTACCCAGGACCTAACAGGACTGACGAATCTTTCAAGTACTTGTTACTCTTTTGCTACTACAGAGCGTCTCATTCAGGCAATCCACCCAAACAGCCGAAAGAAATATTTTTACAAATATTTAAACTTACAATCAAAATGAAAATTTATTCTTATTATTATATTTAATCAATTTTAAATTCACAATACTATACTGAAAAATATATTTAAATTAATAATCTCAAATTTCAACGACAGCGTAGGTATAAAAAAACTTAAAAATAAAAAAAAGACAGTGAAAGTCGGCTATATATATAAAGCATACCTAGTTATTTAAATAAACTCACATCTTAGAGCATTGCTAGAAGCTTTATTTTTGAAACAATTATTATACTAGACTATAGAACATGATCTTCATTGGTTCCTGTCAGATTTTATCTAGCAAATGTGAGTATCCACAGATAGTATGTATGTAAAAAATTAAGGTAATTTCCAAGGTAGGTATAATGAGCGATAGAATTGAAGGCATAATTAATTTTTACTCTGAACATCGATATATTGTATAAATCCGATATCTTAATGAATAAATGAGCGATAGACTTGAAGGCATAATTAAGTTTTACTCTGAATGTCGATAGAATGTATGAAGTTGATAATTATAATTATGATATGGACATCTGGAGTTTCCATTATAAAATGTTACTTACCAGTTTTTTTTTTTATTCTGACGGAACTGTTGTGATTATTCTTTCTGGGTATTGAAATTGATCGGCATATTATAACCGGGGGCAAACCAAATTAGTTTAATTTTAAATAAACATCTTTTTCTATTAGGTATCCCTTGATACATTTGTGACATGTCATATTAAGCAAATGCTTAGCGCAAGGTGCCGCATAACGTATTAATATGGGTGTTTCTTATTCATTGGTGAAATGAATTTTCAACTTAGGCTATTCCTAAATATTTATGCGAATCTTAAGTTCAATGTAGGCATAGGCAGGCATATCTTAAAATAAGATATCCAGAATCACTTTATTGTGCCCGATAGAAAGGAATGGGAAGGGGGATGGCGAAATACGCTTCAAAACCATTTTCAATTTATTACTAGCAAACTTATACGACTATTGTATAGGCACTGCATAATTCCATCTGCTAAAAAAAACTCGTGTATTTATACATTGTTCGTATCAAAATCGCACAAAAAAGGTTTGTTTACAACAACAAATGAAAAAAGCTTAGAACTATAGTGTAGTTATTTAACTATTAATACAGCTTACTTGGGTGTTACTCTTTTGTACTAAACCAATTAAAAGTTAATGATTTTTGTTGTACGTAGGAGGGATGATAAATAGCTAGCCCAACCACTAATTCAAGTTTTTCTATGCTAGGCTAGCTATTTATCATCCCGCCCTCATACGTATCATCTTAATGTTTAAGCAATTCAAGTTGAGTTGACCTATATTCTTTTAAATCGAAAAACAACAACACGCGGGAATTGCACCGAGAGCATTACAGGTAGCTGTTTTGAACTAATTGTGAACTAATTGTGCATCTCTCTGTAGCAATTTACGGTGTTAATACTGTTAGAGACCAGAGAAACTTAAGTATATCCACAATTCGATTCTAGATCACTAAAAAAAATTCAATATGTAGTCATAGAAACTCATAATTCAGACATACTACTATAGTAATATATGAAACTCTTATAGCATAACTCAAACGTGTCTGATTTGGTCTGAAACTATTGAACCCAATGTCCTGAAATATTAGCTACAGCGACATTCAACTTTGCTTTATAAAATGAAAGACTTTTTAGTATGAAGATAAATAATACTTAAAAAATCCACCAAGTACTCTATTTTTTAAGCATCATTCATTCAACATAATTTTCAGTATAGCATTTAGAATGCATAATTGTTCAAAATCCAAAATTATGAATTTATGAAAAAAGAATAGATGGAAACTTATCTGTGACACTACCAAGTAAATATTACTGAATCCTATTAATATTACAAATGTGAAAGTTTCTTTGTTTGGATGTTTAGATGTTTGGATGTTTTTCGGTCAATCACGCCGAAACTACTGAACGGGTTTTGATGAAATTTGGTATTAGCTGACTTAGTTAATATGATACTTTTTATCCCATTAAACATTACTCTAGGGTCCACGCGGGCGAAGTCGCTGGCGAAAGCTAGTTTAAAAATAAATTTTAAATTAAAGTGTTAATTGTGGACGACAGACACTAGCCACCGGCTTGTGTAAATAGTTTTTATGTATTTATGTTTTTATACTTTTTGAATTTGTATTTCTACTATTTATTCTTTTTTATATCTGTCATTGTAAATAAAATCTCTCATAATAAAATTATTATCCACCAACTGTGTGCGTGTCTTCAATTTAAATAATATTAATATTAATTAATATTCACCAGTACAGTAGGTGCCTGAGATAATTTTTTGTGCAGTTTTAAGATAAACATGCATTGTGAATGAGAGATTGACAAAATATTATAAATATGGAATCTTCCGTGCTAATTATGAAGGTAGCAGCCGTAGGTCTTTAAAAAAAAAACGAAAAAGATTTAAACTAATTTATTAAAATAAGATTACAATATTTTTTCATAATACTATTTCTAAGACTATCGGCTCCGCTCGATGTTAGAAATGAAGTGGTGGTTTTCACAGTCTAGGCTATTGACCCGGCGATGGTCACGCGGTAGCACGTCCATGGCGCAGTACGCTGAGGCGGCACTTCTTCGATGGTGCAATGATTTGGTGACCTTCTTGCATATGCAGCATCGCCAATACTCTTATGTCTAATTTATGTAATTTGCTCCAACCAGTCTGATTTGAAAAATTTCAAGATTACAACGATCAGTTGTATGGATTAAAATTAAAATAATTATGTTTTGTTCCGTGCAATATGGTATCCTTATCTGTCTGATTAATATCGCAATTTAACCTGGTTCTCTCTTTTACTTTATACGAACAAAATTCATATTGTATCACGTGCCATTACTTCGTTGTCATCGACCTATAGTATTTTAGACTGGTCAAACCTGTTACAGATTTATGAGAAAGTGTAACTGCATGATTTAAAAGTATATGCATGTACTTATGATCTGTTTGAGGTAATAAATTAAAACTTAAATAAATTTAACCTAATGTTTCAGCAGCAGGTTTTAAAAATGTCATGTTTCTATAGAGGCCCCAGTCCTGCCCTTAAATAAAAATAAAGGTATCTCGAAATTTACGAGAGATTTCCTCCTTTAAAAGATTCTCTATAGATCTTTGCTACAATAATATCTATTTTGAACGGCATCCTGCTTAAAATATGTTTTATTACTAGAGCAAGGAAGCCTTGGAGTTGTAATGACATCGCGATATAAGTGATCGATGTAATTACTTAATAGGCAACAAATGAATTTGAACAAAGCTTTATTATATCAATTTTTAATCGATCTACTTTCAATATAGGTCATTATACTTTAAGACACTTTAAGAATATCGTAAAAAAAATTGACTGAAATAGTAATA